GAAATGCCATCAGACTTGCCTGCCAATGTACTTTCTCGCAATCTAATTCAAGATCAATCGAGTCTGACACAGTTATTTTATTTTCAAGCTGCCGATACGAATCGGGCAAAGGATGAAAATCTATGTGACCTTAGAAGCTCGTGACATGAGCTAACATTTTAGAAATAGGGTTGGATTAAAACCACTGTACCACTTTACCTTTTCACAAATCATTAATGATCTTAAAATTCGCTGGCATCCCAGTACTAACCTGTTCGCCTATTAGCAGGACTGGTTTCGCCTGTTTCGCTATAATATCCACAAGGAAATCAGTCCTGGTGTTGTCCACATTTGGAACCAAAATACCGGTGTATTCGGGTGTCTGATCCGTCGGGTAGGTGTACAACGGAACGCGGGTTTCCCAATGTACCCATTCTCCTTTTTGATCTACCACAAATTCGAAAATAGTATCATTAGGACCACACCGGGGAAGAGGCAGTCGGCCGTTCTTCTCCAAATGCTGCTGTAACTTTAACCTATCGTCCAATTCAAGCAGGCCTCCCAGAGCCCACATTGCGGAAAATGTGATAAGTCGCTCGAGATGTGGACCATTCAGATCCTTTTCTTCTAAATCCATTAACAGTCCTTCAAATATATCGATCGCTTGCCGAATATAATTGCACTGGAGAGTCTGAAAGTGTAGCAATCAAAACAGCGATGTAAGTTAATACAATTGCATAATGCTTAGGGGAAAATAAAAATGTGAAGTTTCCCTATTGGACCATACCATTTTAGGATCGAGGTTTTATCCGCGAGCCTAATTTGGTCTACTGTCTAGTTAGCACTAGACTAGGAGGGGGAGGGTGCATCAATTGCCTCTACCTAGTCGGTTTGACAAGATTGAGGGTGGCTTCTGAATAGGTCACGGTAACCGGGCAAGCCCAACTGATTCTCAGCTTAAACAAACCATGTACACGGTTTCGCCTATACTATGAAACAAGAGATAAAACGTGAGCCCGAGCCTTGCCCTATCACCGAAACATGACACTATTATGCGTATTGTCTGAAATGCTGAGAATACATCAACATTAATACGACCTAAATTTTCCCTACGCGTTCTATGACAGTCCACTGTGGATCCTGAGTGAATGTTTTTGAAAAGAACTCATCCTTAACTGAGCTATACTCTTGAATAGTTTGGCCTAACCGAGCGATTTGTTGCACAACAGATGGAATCACCTCAACTAAGTTTTCCGACCATATTTGTACAGGACACTAAGCCATCTGACTTTTGGTGGATGAACCATAAATTAGTCAGTGAGCTTTCAGGATTTACGTAGGTGCTGTCCTTAGAGAAGATACTAGGACATACATTAGTTCGTCACTGTAGATCATTGAGCAACCAGCCTTGGACCAACAGAGCTCCTGTACATGCTGAAGTCTCCCCAAATTCCGATTTTATGGCCTACAGCTCGTGAGGCAAATAAAGTTTGATGCTGCATTAAGGACATGCTAAACGAGTGCTGTAAGTCTCATGCAGGCGGATGGGGAAATGGAATCCACACATGGCATGATGATGATTATTCAGTAGGCCGATTAACCAATCGCGAGCAGCGAACGGATTTTGACTGTTTGCTTGCGAACGAAATGGCTTCAGTTCTGATTTGATTGGTCTCTTCGATGGCCTGACCAACTAGGTCGCATGTACTTTCCAACACATCAGAGCGAATTTTGTAGATGACTCCGCGGAGGGACCAGTGGACTAATAAGCGTACTTCTTGATCACTCAACACCACCAAATAGGTCGGGTTAAAAGTAAAAAAACAGGCAGCGCATCATGCCACTTACTTGCATTTTTGGTCCCAAACTCTGCGTCACATATCGATGTGCCTCCTCGAAGAATCCGTCAAAGGTCGCATAAATCTTATCTCTCACTAGTGAGGACCGCGTACGCAACCAGCCTGAAGAATCAAAGTTTAATTAAGCATATAAGAAGATTCTAATAGATCATTGCCATAAACATGAATCAGGACGACAGAAATGAAGGGGGGACCCGAAGATAAGCTGTAAACTCGCGTGTATGTGAGAAATGTCTTGGGAGCAAGGGAAGAAAATCCGTATCCCCAACATGCACGAAACTCAGCCCTAGTTTACCAGTAGGGTCAAGCCTGAGTACCGTAACTAGTCACCTACATCACCTACGGCACTCTGCTTTCCCAATCAATACAATCACACGAATCCCAATGTCTATCTGCTAAAGAGGTCAACAAACCTGTCACGTCAGAACCAACGTAGCAGCTAAGATCCGATGAAAATACTTACCAAATCTGATCGAGATCCATCCGCCTACGAAAACTCATGCAGCCTAGTTCAGCTGACTTCAGAGTTTAGCCTGGAACAATGTAATTACTTACGAGAGTTCTAGTCTAAGCAACCTCCGGAAAAAAACGGAAATGATGAAAAGGCTAAAAGGATGTTCATAAAGATAGCACGGAGGATACATAACTGAATGTGATCGAACACTCGTATTAATCTTCTCTTGGCCCGATTGGTAAGTTTTTCGTTCCTTACAGTGACAAATGGGAGACTAAATTATCGGGCCCATCGGCGTTTTAAGATGCATATCAGGAATATACCTTTCTTGTATGACCTAAAGGATCACTAGGTTTTTTGCAACAGATGGTCCACCAGCCCGGTTTTAAAACGAGGAGATGTTATCATTGTGATAATCATTTGACGTTTCGTGGCTATCCCTTTTCCTTTCACAATTTCGCTTCATCTGATAAGTCCATATACAGACGGTTCCACAGTTGAGGTAATGATATCGGGATATAGCTAGTGGAACGCTTGGTCAGTCCCGAAGACACCACAAGTTAATTCCATTGGATGGCGTCCCACGATGTTTTCCGATAGAGCTCGTACGGGTTGTCAGCCATAACGTTAACTGTTGACTTCAGAAAATTTGTGGTGCTTCTGGCCGAGGAGCGAGGACAGATACAATCATCAGTCACATTTCGTAGTTCATGGGCCCCACAGCGTGTGATTTCATTTCATCAAGGAATATGAATGAATGAATGAATGAATGAGTGAGTGAATGAATGAATGAATGAATGAATGAATGAATGATTGAATGAATGATTGAATGAATGAATGAACAACATAGCTCGGCATAAGTATCTGTGGTTTTACAGTAACATGGTAATAAAACTGCCCCATTTTGTACAAATTTATCATAGTCCATTTTTGCGGACCTCTTGAGTTTGGATGATGATAGAGGAGAAACCTTCATCAGTTTAAGATCGTGTATCGCTTGGTTAAACACGTTATATTTCCAGAGAAAAAACTGTCTGAATAGCACAATTCGGCATTGCTGCCTTTACTACCACCGGTATTCTCACAAGCGCAGGTATTGCTAATGTTATGTTTGAATTCATCTCTGAATTGTCTGTCAAACATAGCTCACTCATTTCAGTAGATATCAGGTCTTTGTGGATAACAAACAAATTTCCAAGGCGGGCATTTGGTTGTGCTAATGTTGTGAGTTAAAATAGAGTGGGGCCATTTCAAAAGCCTCTCAAAATTTCTTGGACGTTTTCATCTGCCATTTGTCGCTGTCAGTCACCTTTCACTGTATATCTGTGCGGTTCTCTCTTTTTGTGAAATTCCCTGGTTCTTTGATATTCGGAAGTGTTTTGATCCGAGTAAACAGTTGAGCGGTTTCCTTTAGGGAAGCTAAGGAAACTGTGACCAAGAACGCCCAAAAGCAGTATCTATCTCTATTTGCTTTACTTGTCTGAACTGGAGTTTAGGGAAGTCCCCGTGACCAATTTGGATGCGTTTCCTACAAAGGGTCTTGCCGACAACAGGTTAAGAACTGTCACACGGATTTTCGCTCTGCTTTGTGGAACGGACAGTCAATGTAACTCAAACAAATTCGTAAGTTAAGTCTCTGAAGTGTTTCCTTCAGGAACTGCAATTTTCAGCCTCACAATTGATAGCGAATTACGCTCACTTTCTACATAGCGTACTTTTTCAGATTTTACCGTAGAGTGAGTTCTGAATGGTAAGAGGACTCAAGGCATCACCAGTGAGTATGTTCTACCTTTCAGGTTGAGTGAAAATTTATTCAGCTAAGGCCCAAATTCCTCACTTACCTTTAACTATGGGCTCCCACGTCATCACCGAGCTCGACATAAAGACCATTCCATTACGAGACACTGTAGCCGGTGATGCGTTGTCAATATTGTGCACTTCAAACAAGATCTTTGCGTTCACAGCCATCGGAATCCGATCTCCATTTGCCAATGTCAAAGTCTTGTTATCGTCCAAGACGGAATTCAAATTTTCAATCCAGATAGCATCCACTGGTCCATCCAAAATGAGCCACACATGTTCCCCTTTTTTCAACTTGTGTGTCCGCCTCCACAGCGTTGAGAAGATACCATCCGTCCAGTCGTTGGTTGCCACGTCTAAACGGCCAAACATTTGTGCTGCAGTGATTGCCTTCGGGTTCATGCGCATTTCTCTATGTGGTTCACCCAATTCTGTCAACGTTTTCATCAAAGCGTTGATACATTTTGTCTTTCCTGCTCCAGAAGGACCCAAGGTCATCATGCCATGTCGGACCAGTAGGGTCTCATATAGCTGTATGCACTTCAATACCCATGGTGGATGATAAATCAACCCAAGTTGATCAACCTACGTGGGGAAATGTTGTAGTCGACCAGATAAGTTGGGAAAGGGTTTGGTCACATAGATACAAATGTGAGAAGATGAATCAGTTCAAGTCAGTTGCTAAAAATTGCTTTCAAAAGGTACTTTGACCGGGTCAGTCCACAAGCTTCCACGTATCTGTCAGTCTGGTTTGAAAATTGTGTAACTTTGAACATTTTGTGGAGATGGGGCTTCGTTTTCAGCGCCCTTGTCACAAAGGAACGAACTTCGTGCTGTAGTCTGGAAAAGTGGCCAAGCCTAGTAGTTATACAACGATGAAGCTAAAGCGCGTAAGTGGCAGTATCCTGAAACCCGTATTGGAAGCTATTTCTTCACTGGTCGTTGCTTATCTGGACACCACTTGTCATTTCGGGAAGGCAATTTTTCTGCGTGTGTTCTCATGCATATGGTGACTGAGCCTCAACCGGTCCTCTCATCAGAGCTCGGCATAGCTCAGTGGTTAGGGTACGAACTTACTAATAAGAAGGTCCGTTGTTCGAGCCCGTTTATTCTGTCCAAGATTGGACAGCATCTCAGCTCATGTGCTTTCTTCGGGGTGGCATGGCAGCTAGGAACCGAAAAGGTGCTACAGTTCAAAGACTGTTTATCATCATTTATCATTTAACTTCCTCATCAGGAACAGATAGACTGATAACATCACACACAGTTAGAACTTTGAACCTTAGAACATATACCGCACTAAAGCGTTAGCTTGGTTCCGTTTCAGTCCTCGAGCAAAATCTAAACTTGTACTTCACGAGAGTAGAATCATTAGGTCACTCACTTGCTTTGCTAGCGTAGCCTCTACTTCTGGGTGACCTTTCTTTTCCAAATTGATGCCAGGGAATAAATCGAGAATGAGTGACATGAAAAGGGGTTCGTCTTCGTCAACCAGTTTACTTAGGTTCATGTCGCGTAAGACACGCATCACAATCGTTGTTTCCGAATCCTGAGGTGATGCCCGTTTCGAAGCTCCAAGCGTGCGAAGCACCGACAGAATGTTTCGAAGACCGAAGTCATAGTGAACCTGTTCAGAAACAGTATAGTGAGAAGTGGCGATAAAAAAAAACGGACGCGAAGGGACCTAAAGTGGAAGTGGAGTTTCGTATGACCTAACAAAATTGGTTATGCGGATCAGGATCAATGAATTAACTAGTTCACAACAAGCCCACTAATCAGGTTTAGGTGTAGCTCACCTGCTTGGACAACTGTTCTTCACACAGTTTGTACAAGGTGAAGAACTTCTTGGACAAGTCTATGTTGTTGAGGAAGCCACAGGCGGCCAGCTTTACACGCATGATAATCGCTCGATCTGGTACCATCATGGCCACGGTGCGGAAATTGATCTTCAGGTTTTCTGGTAATTCTTGGCGGCCAGCATAACCGGGATTCTGTGGGAGTTATACAATTGTTAGGTCTATCATTAACTTTGAGGTAAAATAATATAGAATTAGACACAATTAAAAGCATTCATCAACGGGTTATTCACTTATTGTAATCGGTGGTACTTAGCCCAAAGGTTGAAGAAGATACTTGGAGTGTCGAAGATCAGTAATCCGAATGTTGTATGAATGTGACTATGGTCACGTTTCTGCAACTAAAGCTTTTTGGGATATGATGCTAACCGGGTGCTGAATGGCAAATTTATTATCCATTGTAGATGACTACATTTTGGAAGCCTGAAGAATAGCAGTAGGTCAAAACATCCATCGGGACAATCTAAGGCTTTTGGGCGCTTTATCTCTTGGATACAAGTGCTGGAGGCCTTCCTACTAACCTTTCTACCAAGGAAAGAATGCCTTGTTTTTATCAGGCAGTACTATCGCTATGAGCCCAATTTTTGACGACTGGACCTTTGCAACAGAAAAGACAAGCACAGCAAACAAAGTGGATGGACTACTATTCCCTGAAGTTTGCTGGCAGACACTATGAGACTTCAGGGAAACCACCTGAAGAGCATGTAGTCAAAAGTGGGATCGAAAAAATATGGACAAGAGAGTGACGAGAAGGGGATTCTGAAGCCTTGGCGGTGTCAGTAATACTAATAATAACACGGTAGAGAGGCGTGATCAATAAAACAAAGTGAAGTCATACAACATGAAGAGTCTAGTAGGTTGGTGTAGTTACATATGGATTTTTTGAAGGGGTGGATGGTGGAATTTAATTGAAATGGAATGAGGAGGAAGAAAGTAGATGAAAATTTGAAATGAGAACCGTAAAGCCAGAGCACTCAGAATTCAGAAGAGACAGTTACCGACCATATTCTAAGCCATAAAAAGGACACGATACAGAATTGGGTGGGACGTACCTAGTTTAAAAAAATAAAATTCATGTTATGTTGGATGCTCACGCGGAAAGTTACCGTGAAAGAAACAGGGAACACACACAGGATTATGAACATGAATGACAATGGTGGGACGAACATGAATCACTTAACCCACTACCAGTTTTGGTCTAACTGCTTCTCAGATGGATGGATCAGGGTCAATCCTCTTTTGCTACGGCTCATGGTTTGCCAGCTTTGCTGGCCAAATTTCTGTCTTCTTGCTTCATTTGATTATTAGGAAGTAGAGGACTCGCCTGGGGGTGGACAAAACAGCGTTGCAGCCACCTGTGATCAGTTGGGAATTTTGATGGACTGATGCTGTTAGGACGCGCCCAGACAGGAAAAAAAGCAAATGTGCAGAGGAGTGACGCATCCCGAAGGTCACCATCGGTACAACACGTCCGGAAGTTAGGTGAGTTGGCGGCTCTCACCAAACACGGCTTAGCAACATACGACCAGCGTAGTGCGTCTGAAAGTGCTCACGACCGGAACACCGCCATTGGCCGTACGGAGCGAACAGGTGAACGACCATATTTGGCCATTTAGTCATCCTATATATTACGCAGACGCTGTGTATGTTTTGTTCTGACAATATAGCCGTGTCCCCAGTTCTCTCTCTTCTCCCTATCGCGTAGTCTGGCAGGCTCACTGCAGGTGTAACCAATAGACGGTCACCCACGAAACAACAGATGTATGCTTTATTAATCCTTCCCATGTCTTTTTTGAGATAGGTCTGGATGATGTGCGTTTGATTTGCGGAATCCGCGCCAGTCCATGAACAATCCGACCAGTGGATTACACCTCATGAGACTTTCGCGTGCCAGAGCTGCGTCGCTGCTCTTACGATGGTGCCTTGTGTGCACTCATGAAACATAAATACCCTAATAAAACACTGGCTTTCAGCACCGGTCGTCCTTTCAACACTAATGAGGGGGTGAACTCAACTTCTCGTGTTTGATTTGACACTATAACAGCGTGAAGAGATGGTGCGTTGGTTGCCTTATGTCTCCCCCTTAAGTTGAAAGGTGCCTTCGAGACGAATTAGCGTTTCATCGATGTGTGCTGTGAGGAGTTTGAATGTGTGAAATTCTAACCTAACAAAACAGGCGGCCGATCGTGCTACGTCCTCCGGATAGAAATTTACATTTAAAAATTCCTACAGGCTGTAACAATTGTAGTAGCAAACTGATAAAGTCCCGTACTGGAGATAGATCTATATCTAAAAGTCTTCGAATTTTCAGTTTGATTAGTAGCTAGTTAGAGAAAACGACAATATCACTTGAAATTCACAGTTATTTCTACAACAAGCGCTAGCGTGGAATCATCTTGTGATTGGCGTAATGTCTTTACACAGGTTTTTCCTTGTTATAAAATGACCTAATTGCTCTTGGCTGGTATCGCTTTCGACATGCCTCAAAATACCTCGATAGATAGTTGAAGAAAGTGTGTACGCATCGTGGACTAGCTAGCCCCGTCCTCATATGTCAACAAGAGAATGTTCAGGGTATGATGTGAACCTTGTTAACCGCCTGGTTCGATAATAGATGCGGATAATTGGCTGATATTCCTGATATTCCTGGTAAGTCACTCCCAGGTTGATCAGAGCCCACTTTACTCTGTGAATATCGTCGCAGATTGACACCACTGTAGATTTGACACTTCTCTCTTCAGTGTTTTTTTGTGTACTTCACTCACACGTATGTGCGCAACCGCACTAGCCAACGTTGATATTTAATGACTCGTTCTTTCAGTGTGACCATATGGAGGATACTTGTGTTGTGCGCTAGAAATCTCTTCCCAAACTCGTGCCAATCCAGTCTGAATACTGTATCTGTTTGGCAAATCGCTGCTTTTTGAGTCCCACTGAAAAGGGCCAAGAGAGCCTACGCGCAGTCCCATACAGCCGGTCAGTACATGGAAAAGAGATCATTCACATTGCAGTCTGTTGCTACACAGGAAGCTTATTGTTGTTTGCAGTCAATTGCTGGGATACACTTGTCCCATGACAATCTACAAAGATGAGAGTGAAATGTCAACCTTGACCGACTTACCATCGTCAGAAAAATCCCGAATTCCGGATCCAAGTCCACCACATCTCCGTCGGTGAAGATGAACTGTGACTTCCGCTCTTTCTTGCAAGTCAGAACGATTGCAATTTGCTGAGCTGCCACGGAAAGCACTGGCAGTTCAATTCGGTTAAACTCGTCAAAACATCCCCAAGAGCCGGACTGGGCCAATCCTTTGTAAATGCGACCTAGACCGCGGTAGTCCATCTGGTCGGAGCAGTTGAACACCACTACGTATTTGCCCAAGCATCGACCCATATCTTTGGTGGTCTCCGTTTTCCCTGTTCCTGCTGGACCGGCTGGTGCGCCACCCAATGACATTCCCAAGGCTGAGCCAAGGT